AGCTTCAGGCTTTCTTAAACAACATGGTTGGTTGCTAGTAATTGTTACCCTGCAATGCAGTTGCGGACCCACAAAGTTTGTTGGAGGAGAAAGAAGCGCTATCGGAGAAGCTAGCTATAAGTGAATATGAATTTCGTCTAGCTCAGGAGGATATTACAAGGTTGAAAACTGAAGGACAGAAGAAATCTGATTGTTCAATTGACAAGTTAAAAGGTTTTTTTATACTGACATATTTATTTTGCTCTCTCTTGTCATAGTTAATCCTTTACTTAGATAAAGATGTATGCATAAACACGTAGTTTCAGGTTTGTGCCATGAAGTCGGTGACTAGGTTGCAGAATTTTCAATGAGTCTACCTGGCTTTAGTATAATACTCCAGCATCGTATATCTTAGTCTCTAGTGCATACACTTGAATGTATCTAGAAATTTTCTCTGCAATAAGTACCTGGCGTTAGCCATTGCCTTTTTCGCTTTTATTTTCTCCATGGAGCTGTTCTCTGCATAGGTATATATGCAAGCATCATTTATAATGCTGATAGTTTATTCTTTTCTATTTTCATCGCTCGCCAGCATGGTAGCTACTAAATCACCAAACTATGTCCTGATGCTGTTTGTTATTTCTCAGAGTTGGACTCAGATGAGTTTGAAGACAACAGGCCAGAAATTCAACGGAAAAAGAAAGATTTTTCCTTCACTGATATAGGGCCTTTGAAGAACAATGAACGTCGAGACTTAAACTGTGCAGTGAAAGAGTATCTTCTTCTAGCAGGTTACAGACTTACCGCCATGACATTTTATGAGGAGGTATTTTAATTTTATCTCAATGTTTATACCATTTCTTGCTAACTGAGAGCTACCTTGTTCAGAATTGTTGTATCTGTGATCTTCTCTTTTTGTTGTCCCGATTGCCGCCAGCACCATTTGGGAATCTTGATTTTGTGTTTGTGTCTATTCTGTGGCACACTGTCACTCCACCTTGGAAAATTTTAATGAGGAATAACTAAAATTTTCCATTTTTAAAACTATTTAGCCTTTGTAACTCTTTATGGTGAAACTGTCCAAGAAGACTTTTGGATCTTCTAAATACTGTTTTCTTCTACATTTCAAAACCACAAGAAAGAGAAAAGATTGACATCTCTTTTGTGGCAAAATAGCTTTTGGCTTTGTATATTTTCTCTCAAAATTTAGGAAGAGAAAGTTCGTAAGCTGCTGACACTGTCTTGTGTTTGGGCAGTTCTTAAATTCGTTTGGGATCGGAATAATTTATCTATTTCCTTAATTCAGTTGACCGACCGGAACTAAGTTTCAGGTCTGAATTGTCTCCAACTCCAGAAGGAGAAAACAGAAGTGTCTGACCTATTGGCTGTGCTGATATTGTATTTGAAACAACTCGGTATATATTATGTATGATATGTTTATCTCAGGTGACAGACCAGAACTTGGACGTTTGGCAAGACAGTCCAGCGCACGTGCCTGATGCCTTGCGCTATTATTACTATCAGTACCTTTCATCAACTTCAGAGGCAGCTGAGGTTATATTCTGATAGCTTAATTTGCATGTACACTCTTCAAATTGAACTTAATGCTGTCACAAAGATCAATACCTTGAAACTTAGATCTTTGACGTCATTGTCTTATTCAGAGTGTAACTTTTTGTACGTGAAACTTAGATCTTTAAAGTGTAACATTTTGTACTTGAGAATCGTATTGGCCATTTTAGTTCCTTGAGGATCTGCGAGAATACAAATCCACCAAATGGTTCTATCTGCATTATGAATTTAAATTTCTCATGGTTCACAATTATTTGGATGCAGGAGAAAATAGCCATGCTTCAGGAGAATGAATCATTGAAAAAGGAGATTGAGAGGCTAAACAAAGAAAAGGATGGGCTACTTAAGAGCAAAGAAACATTCGAAGAGCAAATTAGTGCTTTTAACAAGTCTACTGAATCACTTCAGAAGGATCTTAAGGAAAGAGAAAAGCAGGTAGTCTGTTTTTTTAATAGACTGGATTTCTTTAAAAAGCCGGCACTTTCATATCTGGAAACGTAAATACCTGAAATGACACTGATAGTATTCAGGTGCAAAGTTTGAAGCAATCCTCTGAGCATCAGAGGAGGAACCTCAATGACTGCAGAGCTGAGATCACTTCTCTTAAAATGCACATTGAAGGGTCTCGTGCGGGTCAATATGTGTCAGCTAATGAAGGTGATCTTGTGCAATCCCAACCCGTGGAAAATGTCGAGAAACAGATAAGCTCTCTGTCAGAGGAAGTTGAGAAACCAGCAATAGAAAAGGATGGTAGTTTGCTTTCGGAGAGTTCTATATCTGCTGAGAAAGGGCACACACAAATAGAAGACAGTCTGGTGGAGGAAGAGGTTAAGAATATAATTCCTGATCAAAGAGAGGTGGCAGCAGAGGCCAGCAATGTATCTTATAAAGCCTTGAATAGTACTTTGGGGAACCAGAAAGAAGTCTCAAATTATATGATAAGTCCATCAAATGGTAACTTTTCACCCAGAGACCTTGAAAGCATTTTGAAAATGGATTCTGGAATTGGTCATGGTTTTAATTCAAAATCGGAAAATGCAAATGGCGAAACTGCTTCTGAGGAAATGGTAAGTCCTGATCATGCTTTGGAGTATTCCTCTTTCCATCGTAAATGCTGTGTTATTTCACCTTTTTCTTAATGATCTAGAATACTTTTAAAATGCGTCTATCTTGTCATCGGCATAATTGGTAGAGGTCCATGTAGCTGCCTGCTTTCCATACACTATGCTTATGCTATTTTTTTATGTGTCAAACAATGTTATAGAGGCTGTTTGAATAGTCTTTTCTCCATTCTGTAACAGGGTTTAGGAACAATTCAGATACTTGCAGATGCTTTGCCGAAGATTGTTCCGTATGTTCTGATAAATCATCGAGAGGTTTGAGTGCTTTTTTCTATTTTACTATACAATACGATGGATGGAATGTTAATGATCTGGTTTGTTTGACCAATAGGAACTCCTTCCCCTGATGATGTGTGCAATTGAGCGTCATCCAGATAGCAGTACAAGAGACTCCTTGACCCATACACTGTTCAACCTGATCAAACGTCCAGATGAGCAGCAGAGGCGGATTATTATGGATGTAGGTTACTGTTTTAACTAGAAGCTTTGTTTTTGAATCATTAAGGCTGGTAAGGGTTTGAGCTTGATGCCTTTTACTGTTTATCTCAGGCATGTGTTAGCCTATCGAGGAATGTTGGGGAAATGAGAACAGAAACAGAATTGCTTCCACAGTGCTGGGAACAGGTAAAAGCTACTCTTGATTTAACAAGTTGTCTGCCTCCGCTTTAAACTTTTTGTATCATTTTCTTGATATGAGTGATTACATGCTTGTTGTGTCTATGTCAGATAAATCATTCATATGAAGAACGCAGGCTGCTAGTTGCTCAATCATGTGGGGAGCTTGCAGAGTACGTACGCCCTGAGATACGCGACTCTCTTATTTTGTCAATCGTACAGCAACTTTTAGAAGATTCTGCGACGGTCGTTCGAGAGGCTGCCGCTCATAATCTTGCGTTGTTGCTTCCTCTATTTCCAAACACAGACAAATATTTCAAGGTCAGCTTCGCTAAATTTTCTTTGTGGCAACTGTTGAAAAAGAATTCTGACTTGACTGA